CATCATGTGCACCGGCATTTGAACCAATAGAGAGGAAAGGGTTTAGAAATAGACAAGTGCTCAGAGAGTCCCTTTAATGGGATCTGCCAAACATTTTAATGTTCAATTTAAATACAGTGTTTCGAAGTACTAAGGAAAACATAGGTTTCCTGAATAGGTTTAGATTCAGGGACCTTCATAAAAAAATAAAAATAATTAAAAAAAACTTAGATATATGCCAAATATACCAGGAAAGTCTTGTAGAGAAGCACTGGGCAACAACTCTACATGGGCAGTTACATTTTTCAATGAGTGGTTTTTGAAGCCTTTGGGTAGTTTGGGAAATTCACAAGTGAATGGGCGTGCAATTAGAGCATGAGGGCAGATTTTAGAGGTGTATGGCGGATTGAAGGGTTACATTTTTGGGATCACAAAGCTAATGCGTAGACCAGGCATAGGCAACCTTCGGCACCATATGTTTTGGACTACACCTCCCATGATGCTTTGCCAGCATTTTTGGTGTGAGAGCATTATGGGGGATGTAGTCCACAACATCTGGAGTGCAGAAGGTTGCCTACCCCTGAGGTAGACCACTTCTTATTTTCCTAATGACTTACTCCTTATACAGCGACATGTCTGTAGCATGTCATAGCCCAAAATACCTGTGCAAATACACCTGGCTCTGATAATGTTACAAATATTTACATAGCGCCAACATATTCCGCGGCACTGTACAAGAGGGAACAAGACAAACATTTAATTCTCATAAAATATTTATGGCATAAGGAATGAAATGAATGAATGAACTATCTAAGTATCTTTGTAAATTAGGGTCTCCTAAAGTGTTAGACCCATATAGTAACTAGAATTATACCCCAGAGTCGGTCCCAGGTCCCCAGAGTCCATGACATATTCTGGAGGTTTCTCACTTGGAAACATTAATCAGACTCCAGGCAAGTGTCCACAATAAGATCTGTGCCCCCAATAAAGAAAGCCCCTTTGGGATAGAAGAGTCTAAGGAAGTATAGAATCTAACCATGTTATAGATGTTACAGAGCTAATGCCAAGAGATAGAGATTGGGTTTCATTTTGTGAGTTCAGTTAACCCCCTCCTGTCTGCTAAGGTCTATCTGGCTGCCACATGTACACTTAATGGACATTAATAGGGAAACTTGCAGAAATAAACAGGAAATACTGAAACAGACACTGGGCTAATTAACCCTTTACTAGTCCCAGGAGATGTCATAGTGATTGCTATATACAGGCTGATACATGATTGCTATATACAGGCTGATACATGATTGCTAAAGTCAGGCTGATACATGATTGCTATATACAGGGTGATACATGATTGCTATATACAGGGTGATACACTGTATATTCTGTATGGGATACCTGTTCAGGTGGGAAACCCTCTTCTTGTAGCTCTTCAGGATCTCCTGGGGGGTCAGCAGCCTGTCCTCGGTGGGGGGCAGGATGACCTGTGCTTGGTAAAGTGGGTGAGAGAGGAGGTCCCGCAGTTTGGATCCAGTGCCCCCCACAGTGGTGCCCCCCTCAATGCCCCTTTGCTCTTGTGTGGAAGGGGAGGTGCTCACTCTGCTGGGTGGCGGGGCACTGCACTCACAACTCTTTCCCAGTCTGAGTAGGAGCTGCGGCCACAGGTGGAAGTAAATATCTGCAGCTAGAAGCATAGACAGAGCCGCTACTAGGAGTAACCGGTCCCGGCGCTGGAGCCACATCGTCCCCGGAGGCAAATAGGTACCACCAGGATCACTGTGGGTGCTGTATCCTGGGTGAGATGGGTGGCACACTATGGGTGCTGTATCCTGGGTGAGATGGGCGGCACACTATGGGTGCTGTATCCTGGGTGAGATGGGTGGCACGCTATGGGTGCTGTATCCTGGGTGAGATGGGTGGCACGCTGTGGGTGCTGTATCCTGGGTGAGATGGGTGGCAGTGGCACACTGTGGGTGCTGTATCCTGCGTGAGATGGGTTGGCACACTGTTGGTGCTGTATCCTGAGGGCTGGCACAGGGTGAATGCTGTATCCTGGGTGAGATGGGTGGCACGCTGTGGGTGCTGTATCCTGGGTTTGATGGGTGGCACGTTGTGGGTGCTGTATCCTGGGTGAGATGGGTGGCACACTATGGGTGCTGTATCCTGTATCCTGGGTGAGATGGGTGGCACACTATGGGTGCTGTATCCTGGGTGAGATGGGCGGCACACTATGGGTGCTGTATCCTGGGTGAGATGGGTGGCACGCTATGGGTGCTGTATCCTGGGTGAGATGGGTGGCACGCTGTGGGTGCTGTATCCTGGGTGAGATGGGTGGCAGTGGCACACTGTGGGTGCTGTATCCTGCGTGAGATGGGTTGGCACACTGTTGGTGCTGTATCCTGAGGGCTGGCACAGGGTGAATGCTGTATCCTGGGTGAGATGGGTGGCACGCTGTGGGTGCTGTATCCTGGGTTTGATGGGTGGCACGTTGTGGGTGCTGTATCCTGGGTGAGATGGGTGGCACACTATGGGTGCTGTATCCTGGGTGAGACGGGTGGCACGCTGTGGGTGCTGTATCCTGGGTGAGATGGGTGGCACACTATGGGTGCTGTATCCTGGGTGAGATGGGCGGCACACTATGGGTGCTGTATCCTGGGTGAGATGGGTGGCACGCTATGGGTGCTGTATCCTGGGTGAGATGGGTGGCACGCTGTGGGTGCTGTATCCTGGGTGAGATGGGTGGCAGTGGCACACTGTGGGTGCTGTATCCTGCGTGAGATGGGTTGGCACACTGTTGGTGCTGTATCCTGAGGGCTGGCACAGGGTGAATGCTGTATCCTGGGTGAGACGGGTTGGCACACTGTGGGTGCTGTATCCTGGGTGAGATGGGTGGCACACTGTGGGTGCTGTATCCTGGGTGAGATGGGTGGCACACTGTGGGTGCTGTATCCTGGGGGAGATGGATTGGCACACTGTGGGTGCGGTATTCTGGGTAATGGTGGTTGGCACACTGTGGGTGCTGTATCCTGAGGGCTGGCACAGGGTAAATGCTGTATCCTGGGTGAGATGGGTGGCACACAATCGGTGCTATATCCTGGGTGAAATGGCTGGCACACAATGGGTGCTGTATCCTGGGTGCTGCACACTGTGGGTCTGGGTGGTATCACTTGTTCAGTTTCACAGTGTTTGCCTTGTCCCCTGGGTTAGACTGTGACCCTGATGGTGTCCTTGGCATTAGCATTGGAAGTCTGTGGGTGCCACTCACCGCCAGCTGTTATACTGAGTATTGCTGGGTACTGAGTGGGATAATGTCATTGTAACTTGTGGCACCTTGTGGAGCTAAGGCTTCTTGTAGAGCATTACCTGTCACAGTGGGTATTGTGTGCTGCCAACACTGAGGGTGCAGTATATCTCAGATCAGTGTTCGAATCTTGGCACTGCCTGGCAGAGAGGTTGATGGTATATCTCTGGGTGCTGTATTATATCCCTGGGTGCTGTATTATATCCCTGGGTGCTGTATTATATCCTGGGTGCTGTATTATATCCCTGGGTGCTGTATTATATCCTGGGTGCTGTATTATATCCCTGGGTGCTGTATTATATCCCTGGGTGCTGTTATATCCTGGGTGCTGTATTATATCCTGGGTGCTGTATTATATCCCTGGGTGCTGTATTATATCCTGGGTGCTGTATTATATCCCTGGGTGCTGTTATATCCTGGGTGCTGTATTATATCCCTGGGTGCTGTTATATCCTGGGTGCTGTATTATATCTCTGGGTGCTGTATTATAGCCCTGGCTGATATTCACCTGGGTGATGTTATATTCCTGGGTGCTGTGCTATATTGATTTAACCTGGGGGCTGTGTTATATCATGGGGGCTGTGTTACACCCCTGAGTGCTGACCAATGCTGTATGGTTGCTTGCTGTAATCCTGGGAGCTGATTGGTGGAAGTTACAGAGTACCTTTTGATGTCACTGGGCGAGGTGTGATGTCACTGGGCGAGATGTGATGTCACCGGAATGCTTACAGGACTCTCCCTGAGTGTGTGGATCCAGCAAGACAGGAGCAGTAGGAGTCCCAGCCCTGCACTTACACTGACTCAACCTGCTCTGCACTACACTGCTCTGCACTACACAGCTCTGCACCCACCCTCAACCTGCTCTGCACTACATTGCTCTGCACTTACACTGACTCAACCTGCTCTGCACTACACTGCTCTGCACCCACCCTCAACCTGCTCTGCACTACACTGCTCTGCACCCACCCTCAACCTGCTCTGCACTACACTGCTCTGCACTTACACTGACTCAACCTGCTCTGCACTACACTGCTCTGCACCCACCCTCAACCTGCTCTGCACTACACTGCTCTGCACTTACACTGACTCAACCTGCTCTGCACTACACTGCTCTGCACCCACCCTCAACCTGCTCTGCACTACACTGCTCTGCACTTACACTGACTCAACCTGCTCTGCACTACACTGCTCTGCACCCACCCTCAACCTGCTCTGCACTACACTGCTCTGCACTTACACTGACTCAACCTGCTCTGCACTACACTGCTCTGCACCCACCCTCAACCTGCTCTGCACTACACTGCTCTGCACTTACACTGACTCAACCTGCTCTGCACTACACTGCTCTGCACCCACCCTCAACCTGCTCTGCACTACACTGCTCTGCGCCTACTCTCAACCTGCTCTGCGCTGACACTGCTCTGCACTCACTCTCAGCCTGCTCTGCACCACACTGCTCTGCACCCACTCTCAACCTGCTCTGCACTACACTGCTCTGCACCTACTCTCAACCTGCTCTGCGCTGACACTGCTCTGCACTCACTCTCAACCTGCTCTGCACTACACTGCTCTGCACCTACTCTCAACCTGCTCTGCGCTGACACTGATATGTATTTTTTCGCCATTCACTTCCCTGCTCTGCAAAAACCTTCCCACTTCTGCGCTCACCATGCTCTGCACCCACCATGCTCTTCACTCTCACTGTCTCTGCACTCAGTCTGCACTGCACTCTCACTGTCCCTGCACTCAGTCTGCACTCTCACTGTCCCTGCTCTCAGTCTGCACTCTCACTGTCTCTGCACTCAGTCTGCACTGCACTCTAACTGTCCCTGCTCTCAGTCTGCACTCTCACTGTCTCTGCACTCAGTCTGCACTGCACTCTCACTGTCCCTGCTCTCAGTCTGCACTCTCACTGTCCCTGCTCTCAGTCTGCACTCTCACTGTCTCTGCACTCAGTCTGCACTGCACTCTAACTGTCCGTGCTCTCAGTCTGCACTCTCACTGTCCTCTCAGTCTGCACTCAGTCTGCACTCTCTCAGTCTGCACTCACTGTCCCTGCTCTCAGTCTGCACTCACTCACTGTCCCTGCTCTCAGTCTGCACTCTCACTGTCCCTGCTCTCAGTCTGCACTCTCACTGTCCGTGCTCTCAGACTGCACTCTCACTGTCCCTGCTCTCAGTCTGCACTCTCACTGTCCCTGCTCTCAGTCTGCACTGCACTCTCACTGTCCCTGCTCTCAGACTGCACTCTCACTGTCCCTGCTCTCAGTCTGCACTCTCACTGTCCCTGCACTCAGTCTGCACTCTCACTGTCCCTGCACTCAGTCTGCACTCTCACTGTCTCTGCACTCAGTCTGCACTGCACTCTAACTGTCCCTGCTCTCAGTCTGCACTCTCACTGTCCCTGCTCTCAGTCTGCACTGCACTCTCACTGTCCCTGCTCTCAGTCTGCACTCTCACTGTCCCTGCTCTCAGTCTGCACTCTCACTGTCCGTGCTCTCAGACTGCACTCTCACTGTCCCTGCTCTCAGTCTGCACTCTCACTGTCCCTGCTCTCAGTCTGCACTGCACTCTCACTGTCCCTGCTCTCAGACTGCACTCTCACTGTCCCTGCTCTCATTCTGCACTCTCACTGTCCCTGTACTCAGTCTGCACTCTCACTGTCCCTGCACTCAGTCTGCACTCTCACTGTCTCTGCACTCAGTCTGCACTGCACTCTCACTGTCCCTGCTCTCAGTCTGCACTCTCACTGTCCCTGCACTCAGTCTGCACTCTCACTGTCCCTGCTCTCAGTCTGCACTCTCACTGTCCCTGCACTCAGTCTGCACTCTCACTGTCTCTGCACTCAGTCTGCACTGCACTCTCACTGTCCCTGCACTCAGTCTGCACTCTCACTGTCCCTGCTCTCAGTCTGCACTGTCACCGTCCCTTGCCTGCACTGTGTGCTCAGCATCCCTGCTAACTCTGCACCACTGGCTCTGCACTCTCGATATACCACACACTGCTCTCTCCTCTCTCTGTAAACCCTATGATAATGTTGCTCTTTACTTGTTTTGCAACTATGCTGTCTGTAATTCAAGATCTACACAAACAGCATCCCTGTTCTGCATTATCTTTAACCCACCTGAAACACCAAGCCTGCTCTGAGCTCTGCACTGCCACTAACTCTACCCTGAGCTCTGCACTGCCAGTAACCCTGCTCTAAGCTCCGCACTGCCAGTATGCTCTGAGCTATGCACTGCCAGTAACTCTGCCCTGAGCTCTGCACTGTCAGTAACCCTCCTCTGAGCTCTGCACTGCCAGTAACTCTGCCCTGAGCTCTGCACTGCCAGTAACCCTGCTCTAAGCTCCGCACTGCCAGTAACACTGCTCTGAGCTATGCACTGCCAGTAACTCTGCCCTGAGCTCTGCACTGTCAGTAACCCTCCTCTGAGCTCTGCACTGCCAGTAACTCTACCCTGAGCTCTGCACTGCCAGTAACTCTGCCCTGAGCTCTGCACTGTCAGTAACCATGCTCTGAGCTCTGCACTGCCAGTAACCCTGCTCTGAGCTCTGCACTGCCAGTAACTCTGCACTGAGCTCTGCACTGCCAGTAACTCTGCCCTGAGCTCTGCACTGTCAGTAACCCTCCTCTGAGCTCTGCACTGCCAGTAACTCTACCCTGAGCTCTGCACTGCCAGTAACCCTGCCCTGAGCTCTGTACTGCCAATAACTCTACCCTGAGCTCTGCACTGCCAGTAACCCTGCTCTAAGCTCCGCACTGCCAGTAACCCTGCTCTGAGCTATGCACTGCCAGTAACTCTACCCTGAGTTCTGCACTGCCAGTAACTCTGCCCTGAGCTCTGCTCTGTCAGTAACCCTGCTCTGAGCTATGCACTGCCAGTAATTCTACCCTGAGCTCTGCACTGCCAGTAACTCTGCCCTGAGCTCTGCACTGTCAGTAACCCTGCTCTGAGCTCTGCACTGCCAGTAACTCTGCCCTGAGCTCTGCACTGCCACTAGCCCTGCTCTGAGCTCTGCACTGCCAGTAACCATGCTCTGAGCTCTGCACTGCCAGTAACTCTGCTCTGAGCTCTGCACTGCCAGTAACTCTACCCTGACCTCTGCACTGCCTGTACCTCTGCCCTGAGCTCTGCACTGCCAGTAACTCTACCCTGAGCTCTGCACTGCCACTAACCCTGCTCTGAGCTCTGCACTGCCAGTAACCCTGCTCTGAGCTCTGCATTGCCAGTGACTCTACCCTGGGCTCTGCACTGCCACTATCCCTGCTCTGAGCTCTGAACTGCCAGTAACTCTACCCTGAGCTCTGCACTGCCAGTAAATCTGCCCTGAGCTCTGCACTGCCACTAACCCTGCTCTGAGCTCTGCACTGCCAGTAACTGAGCTCTGCACTGCTAATAACTCTGCACTGAGCTCTGCACAGCCAGTAACTTTGCACTGGGCTTTGCACTGCCAATAACTGCATTGAGCTCTGCACTGCCAGTAACTTTGCACTGGGCTCTGCACTGCCAATAACTGCTTTGAGCTCTGCAATGCCAGTAACTTTGCACTGCGCTCTGCACTGCCAATAACTGCATTGAGCTCTGCACTGCCAGCAACTCTGCACTGCCAGTAACCGAGCTCTGCACTGCTAATAACTCTGCACTGAGCTCTGCACAGCCAGTAACTTTACACTGGGCTCTGCACTGCCAATAACTTCATATAGCTCTACACTGCCAGTAACTCTGCATTGAGCTCTGCACTGCTAATAACTCTGCACTGAACTCTGCACTGCCAGTAACTCTGCACTGCCAGTAACTCTGCACTGTTACTAATGCAATACTGTTCACTGCCCTTCCACTAACACAGCTCTGTGCTACTAACCCAGACTTTGAATCAAGGGAGATACAGTGCACAACATTTTAAAGGTACACCACAACAATAAGTTCCCCTTATAATAACAGTCCAAGCACCATAACCACTACAGTGCACAGATAACGCCCAGGTATGAGGTAAATCCATTCTAAAACGATTTGACTGCTTACAATAGGTGGGTGCCAGGTCATTCCTAGGACCACAACAACTTCAGCAAAGTCCCCTCTATCACAAAGACACATAACCAAAGCTTACCCCGACCTCACCTCTTAGAGGCACCATATCACCATTCTTTAAAAGGGGGGTTTGTCAAATGTGTTCTTACAAACGCAACAGCATTACTGCATCTCCAGCAGCATTGTCAACTTTTATAACTCACTATTTTGAAAACTAAGCTTGTCTCCACAACACGGATATGGACCCGGCCTAAACCGTGCTTGTATTCAGAGCAAGAATATCGATTGAAAAATTCAAAGAAACATAACCGCTACAGCATAGCATAATATTACAGCTCGGCAGTTTATCACAGCTCAATGAATTGGTTTTGTTTCTTCGGGTCGCTGGGCACCATCCTGTGGATATCTGTCAAACAGAAGCTGTTGGACAAAAAAAATAAGACCCCTGCCTCCCCACCTACACACCTCCTAAGCTTAATTGATAATGCAGAATTTATATTTCCGCATCAACAATAAAAAGATTTGTCCAACCAGAGCAGTGGGCGATTTGCCCAGAATGTTGATGCGCTCTTAAAAAATAGATGCGGTCCAGATTAGATTTATTACGAGACCGGCTTATTAACAGAGAAAGTGTACAAATTTGCTGAACATTAAGAAGTTGACCAATTAAAATTCCATTTCGATGTGCATAATTTTCCAATTACAATATGTTTTGTGTGATTAGGTCTGGCTAACCACAACTTTTTAGGAAGTTATCTGCAGACCCCAGACATGTTTCAACCTGCTTAACCAAAAGAACCACAATTTTAGCAGCCTTACAAAAAGAATATGTTGACTGGAGTTAACAACAAAAATTAACTAAAGCTCTGCTGTCTCAGATCTTTTCTTTAAGATGATCCAAGTGACTTAGAGGAGGACTCACCTCAGAGGCCGTTACACCGGTATTAAAGACCGGTTACTCTAAATGTTGTCATCAGGACAGAACAAGGGTAACTTTTTTTTGGAGGGGTTTATTTTGTTTATACCAGTGTGGCCACCCAAGATTGATGGAATTTTGAATGAGAGCTTAATATATATAGGTCTTGACAAAGACCCAGGTGTGGGTTGGAACGTTGCTTTGTATCTTCTCTTCTGATAAATTTGCGTAAAGCAGTTGGAGTGCGTGGACCTTTCTTTTATTTTTTTTTAAATTTTTTTATTTCTCTTTTATTCTTGCAATGTTCTCCAGGTACACTGGGTATCTGGAGAACATTGGCTCAGAAGATCCGGCTTACAATGTTGTGCATTGTGTGTAAATGGGTTGGGAATATGACGTAACATCAAACCTCATTTAAAAGGACACTATAGCAACCAGATTAACTACATCTTATTGTATTTGTTCAGGTGAGTAGAATCATTCCCTTCAGTGAAATGCAGTGTTTACATTACAGCCTAGGGATAACTCCACTGGCCACTCCTCAATGGCTGCTAGATGTGCTTCCTGGCGCATTGCCGCACACGGTGCTGCCCTGCCATTTAGTGTCTCCACCCTCTGCATGCAGACACTGAGCTTTCCTCATAGAGATGCATTGATTCAATACATCTCTCTGAGGAGATGCTGATTGGCCAGGGCTGTGTTTGGCTTGTGCTGACTCTGCCACTGATCTGCCTCCTTGACCGTCTCAGCCAATCCTATGTGAAAGCATTGTAATTGGCTCAGAACACAACTTCTGATAATTTCAGCCAAACAGGCAGATCAGGGGCAGAGGCATCAGCTGCATACTTCAATACAAGTAAGATTTTACTATAATTAGGGAGGCAAGGGGGAGTCAGGAAGGCTAGATGGTGGTTTTAATACTATAGGTTCAGGAGTACATGTTTGTGTTCCTGACCCTATAGTGTCCCTTTAAATAAAGTTTAAGACCCCTTTAGCTTAATCTATTTAAACAGTTTATGGTAGACATGACCCCAAGGTCCCATGGTATAAATTCACTACTTAGGGGGCTTAGGCTAGTAATTGTCAGAGTATTATTTAATTTTTTGTTATTCTTATAGGATTCATGCTTTTTTGAAACAGGGGTTGAAATTATGTGTGAAATTTGCTGATTTTTTACACATATACACTAGTTACCACTAGAGCAGGGGTTCCCAATAAATTTTTCCCATGGAACCCTTTGACATAATGCGCTAACAACGTGGAACCCCAATTTTGTTTTGCCGCTGTAGTGCAGATAGTTAACAAATAGTAGCACTTAGGAGCAGGTATGCTTTTGTGTATACAGTTGGTGTTTGTATATAATGTTAGCGTTTTGATACAGGGGTGTCTTTGTATGTAATGTTTACATTTGCCTGCAGGGGTGTGTTTGTATGTAATGTTTGTGTTTGCAGGAGTGTATGCAGGGATGGATGCAGATATACATGTTTGATTGCTGGGATGGTGTTTAATTGCTGGGATGTATGCACATATGATTGCAGTACGTATGCCACGTACGTACGTACGTACGTACATACATACACAAACAAATTAACACACAGACACATAAAAACATTGACACATACACACACATGCATATACATACTGACATATACACACAGACACAAAGATACACACCTTGACACATGCACAGACCTTGACACAGAGATACACACCAATACAAACACTCGGATAAACACAGTGACACATACACAAACCTTGACATACAGATACACACGCTGACACACACTCAGACACACATACTCGTCTCTTTGACAGACACACATACAAACACATATACACACTCACTGACAAGCACACATACACTCTCACTGACAAGCACACATACACACACACTGACAAACACACATACACTCTCACTGACAAACACACACACACACACACACTCACTGACAAACACATATACAAACTCCTTAACAAAAAAACACAAAATTTATTTATTTTTTTAAATTTCACTTCACCCAGCCTCCCTACCTTTGAAAGTGCTGGCATGGAGTCTCTATTTCCCTGGGTCCAGTGTGTCTGCTGGGCTGAGCCGCTGGCGTGCAGTCCCTAGGGTCCAGTGGGGCTGCTGGGCTGAGCAGCTGGCATGCAGTCCCTGGGGTCCAGTGGTGCTGCTGGGCTGGGCGTCTGGCATGCAGGCGTACAGTGCGGGCAGAGAGGGATCTGTGATCTTCCTGCTCAGCTCCCTCGTGTGCCTCTTAGTGATACCGGGGCCGGAGTGACGTCATATTCCGTCTCCAACATTACTGCGGTGCGCGCGAGGGAGGTGAGCAGGGGACATTTTGTTTCCCGATATTGTGGCGGAACCCCATTTGTGTTCTTGCAAATTTTGTTTCCCGATATTGTGGCGGAACCCCATTTGTGTTTTTGCAGAACCCCAGGGTTCGCGGAACACCAATTGGGAAACGCTGCACTAGAGATACGTCAGCATGATGCAGTGGTCTCATGCATTCTCAGGAATGTGCTAGTCTTAACATTATTTAGTGAAAAAGTAAGTATGCTCACTTTAAATGTATGTAGAATGTCTCTATATCTTTAATAAACAAAAAAACTACTACCAAAACAGTGGGGCTAATTACGTGTATAAAGAGGGTAATTTGAGCCCTGCCACCCAATGTTGAATTTTGGAGTCTCACCTTTGGCGTCTGCTGATGTATTAGAAATTGTGTAACTGGGAGCCTGATGTATTTGGGGAAAATGTCACAAACATTAGCTGCTTCTCTCTTGCTGCAAGATTTTAAACTGTGACTGTAACATTTCTGTGGATAGTTACTTCTCATACCAGCCCTCAGGCAAACAGGCTTTTGAAAATTGGTCCCAGTGGGACGGCGGACACCGTTATATAAACATAGCTCTGACTTATCAGTATTTAGTCCTTTCACAGCATCACTGGGATTAAACGTCTTTACAATTAGAGGGACCCAAAACTATCGGAAGAAGGGAAACAATGGATTGCATACAAGTAAAGAGAATAACGTATAATTATTTAAGAGAACAGTCAGTCCCTACTAGGGCCACCGTGTACCAATGATAGTGACAAGTTTATGGGTTAATCCTTGCAAGGGCCACAGTGTATTAATGACGGCAACCTGTTTATGGGTCAGTCCTTCCTACAGACATAATATATTAATGACAGTGATATGTTTATGGGTCAGTCCTTCCTAGGGCCACTGTGTTCTAATGATAGTGACATTTTTATGAATTAGTCCTTGCTAGGGCCCCAGTGTGTTAATTGACGTCAACCTGTTTATGGGTCAGTCCTTCCTACAGACACAATGTATTAATGACAGTGACATGTTTATGGGTCAGTCCTTCCTAGGGCCACAGTGTATTAATGATAGTGACATGTTATGGGCGAGTCCTTCCTAAAAGCCATAATGTATTAAAGGGAACCTATAGTCCCCAAAATTGTTATTTTGGAACTATCGATTCTGTCCAGCCCTCTTAGAGTTTAAAAGTAACTATTGCTCAAGCCTGTTGACGTCTTCTCGATTTCATGCAATAGACTGGTTTTTATAGAAAAGCAATAGTTGGAAGATACGAATATGCGGCCAAACGTCTCGCTCCTACAAGCACATGCTGCTGTAAGTAGAATTTGATACCCAGGCAAGTTTTACTCGCCTCAAGAGACTTTGTTTCTTTAATGACAGTGACATGTTTATGGGTCAGTCCCTCAAAGGACCAAGAAAGGGATTCAAAAATCTGGTTACTAAACCACTTGCTATATTTTTTAAATCGAAGCTTCCAATGGTGAATTGAAGGAAGTATATCATACGTTATGTTTTTTCTCTTCTGGCTGTTAAAACATTTAATGGGTCTGGACATTGACTATGATGATCGTTATATGGCAGGATGTATCTGCATGACCATGGGCAAGTTTTCCAGAGATTGATTCTCAGAGCTACAATACGGTAGGAAATAAATTTACAACTTCCAGCTACCCAATCTACCGATGTATCCATCAACATGAAAAATAGAGTTAAATACTAAATAAAGCTATATTCTTGGTCTTTAGATCTTCATTGGTCATTAGACCAAGAAATTGCTATTTCTATTTACAAGAACCACATCGTTGGATTTTGATAAGTTGGGGAGATTGTAGAGGTTTTCCAGCAACGTACAGTGGACTATCATGTCTATTGTGATATCTATTTTGATTTAACCCAATAACGCATAGTTCAGATTTATTTTATTTTTTTAATTTAATACGAGGAATATTGTTGCCTCAACGTAAATAAAAAAAATATTGCACACATGTAAATATGCGCCTGCAAAAATATTTTGCTCAAATCATCATATAAAATAAATACTTAAAAAAATCTATCGGTCATTTTATAGGAATTAACAAGGAAACGGACATTAACAGCTATAGAGTTATGTTAATTGGAGATAATTATTACACTGTGGTTGTGTTACTTTTGCCCCAGCGCTTTTTATAAATGTATTTACATTTTGTTTATAAATCTCCCCCTGCAGTGTTAGACATTTAACTGAAATCATTAAAGGGCAAAGTTGCCAAAGAAATGGTCTCTTATCTGTTGGTTCATTCAATATGTCTTTCGGTATTATCCAGTCGCTGACACAAAGTATCGATCCTCGGAATGCATAGACAGCGGATCAAGGGATGTTCACTTTTCTAAGGCCTCCCTGTATTCTTAGCTGACCTTATTATATTATTTCCAGCCACAATGATAAAAAGACAGACTGTGTATGCCTGCACCCAATCAGCTATAAATCTGTTAAGGGAGGCAGATCGATAATTTGCTCCACAGCTCCCAAATCAGGACAGCAGCAAAGAAAAAGACTCAAAACAACTTAAGTCTACGTTAACCATTTTTTTAAACTCAAACACGAAATGATAGAGGGCTGTTCAATTAACGCCTTCGGAACCACTTGCCAAATTTACGAGTGGCTGATGGCTGTTCACAATACCTGGGTTCGTCTTCTGGTCATAGAATATTTACAGTGGCACAAAAATATATAGTTAGAATTATGATGATTAAGACACACGTGGGATTTGGGAGAATAAACTGGGTACGCATTTTTGTTTTATAAAAACAGGTTTAATGTTTATGAAATCTTTGAAAATGCGTGATTTTTTTTAAAGAGGGTTGTTTATTAAAATAAGAATTGTCAGGAATTCAAAGTGAATTTTTTTAGGCCCAAAATAACCAAATTGAAAACGTTGCTTACTTGGAAATGGTCTATGTTTTTTTTTTAATTACAGCTATTGTGGTTCGAAATGTAAAATTCACTTTGAAATCCTGACAGTTTTCAGTGAACTGGTATGTGATCTGGCATCACGCTAAACATGAGCTACCCTCTTTTTCCAAAAGTCATTTAATTTAAATTGTAATAGCTGTCTTCCTGATCCAAACAAAACCTTTCTTCTGGAAAAAAAATACATGTATCTAGATTAATTTCACAATCACCTCCTTTACCACTCAACCACCACCCCCTTGAGGCAATAATTTAAATGCTCCTGATGTGCCAACATTGCATTTTAAAACATTTGTAGAAAATTTGTCATCTATACTTTTCAATTTATTCACTAAACTGGGAATCTTGGAGAACCGACAAGGGAGTTTTCCAATTGAGCTATTTTGTTATGAAATATTCTAAATTGCTGATAAATGTATAGGTTAAACAGTTTTTTATTTTTTGATCAACGTTGAGGTAAACGTGGCAAGGTCAGCCCTACATCTATACTAAAAAAAAGTCTTCTTAACAGAAAGATGCCAATTTAGCCCACAAACAGATTGCAAAATGATAAAAGCACACGTTTGTAGCATCCAGACATGTGAGCAAAAGGTGTAATTACTGTCTGATTCACTGTGAGCCAACATTAAAGGGGAGTTTGCGAAGTAAGTAAAAATGGACCAGTCTGCCTGGTATGTTTCTGACAAGAGTTTTACAGCAGACAAAGGGGTTATTTTAGGATTGTCTAGTAGACGCTTAACACAATTTAGGAGTGATGCCAGGGAGGCTATATACTTAACCATTTTTGTACCAGATATATTAACAGGTCACTCACACAGAAATTATTCATAATTATAGGAAGTCTTTGAGATAAGTGGACGAAATAAGAAAACGCCCCATGATATGGATAAGACATTCGTGCTAATCTGGATGTTTCGGATTTATGATCAAAACTACCTCTTGGATTCCATTTTATCTTGCTTGTACTAATCTTAAATATGGGTATCGGGCAGTTATATGATATTAAATGGACTGTAAATGTACAATGACCAGCCATGCTCACACCATAGTTTGTGGTGCAAGTAGGGTCTCTGTGAATTGCAAGATCTCATATAACTTAATTCCGGAAGCAAGAAGTGACGCTAATATAAGTCACTTACGGGTAACTGGAAGAGCTGAAGATTTGCTGCAAGTCAAAAAATTAAGTTCTTTTTCCATATCATTTAAAAACATTTTCAGAAGTATTTTTTTTTTTTTTAAATGTATTATATTCTAGATGATTAGAGGGAAACCGTTACTTCTATGAAAATTTCACCATTGAATAAAACATTGAAAAACACTTATGCTGGTTAGTTTTTTTGCCTTTTTATGTGATGCTTTGTTTTTTTTTTTGTTTTGTTTTTTTTAAAAGCTATCGCAATTGACATTAAAAAATCCAGTTTCGTGCAGGCACTGCCAGAGTATGCATTGCATTGAAGGAGGAAAAAAAAAAACGTCAATTGCTGAAAATTCGAAGTGAATTTTAGATCTTAGATCTAAATCTGGGTATTTTGGCCAAAAATTCACTTTAAATTCCGATCAATTCACACTTTAGTGAGTAACTGTGATTTTTTTTTTAATGATTCTCATCACCTCTCTATGTTCACTTTTCCAACTACCAGGTTCAAAGGACAGAGCTTCTAACAATGATTGACGGAGAGTCAAGATGGCAGCACACAGGGCCGGACTGGGAAAAAAATTCGGCCCGGGCATTTTTTTATCACAGCGGCCCACTAAGAAGGGGGCGGGGCAGAGAGGGTGTGTTTTGTCATCACTCATGACAAACACGCCCCCTCTCAAAGTGAGCATGTTGGTTCAATGCTCTTCCAGGGCAGACCATGCACAGAGCTCTGCTGAAGGGCTCTAGCATGAGAAAAAAAGCCCTGTATTTGTTCTGCACAGTGCAAGCAAATTTAATAACATGCTTGCACTGTGTTTGCTTGCAACTTGTCTCTGGTGTCTTATAAATGGATACCAGGAGACAAAATGGCCAGGAAAGAGTATTGTGCATGTGTTTGGAGCCTGCTTGGGGTATTGCGTGTGTGCAGAGTGAGCTGGTCGTGGTGTGGTATTGTGTAATAAGGTCGGTTTTAGTTGTGTTGTGTTTGTGGTGTAATGTAATGCATATGTGGCTAGGGGCTTTAGAGAATGTGTGTTTAGGGGATGTAGCAAGTGTGTGTATACAGGCTATAGTGTGTGTGTGTGTGTGTAGGTGATGTAGTGTTTGTAGAGAGTGTGTGTTCAGGGAATGTAGTATGTGTTTGCTTACAAGGAATCTAGTGTGCGTATAGGGGACCCAGAGTGTGTGTGTGTTTGAAGGACCGTGAATATGTATAGGAGATCTAGTGAGCGTGCGTATATAATGGATTCAGAGTGTATATAGGGATCTAGTGTGTGTGTATGTGTGTAGATGATCCAGAGTTGGGTAGAGGATCTAGTGTGTGTCTGGAATGAAATTTGTTTAGGGGTGCTGTGTGTGTATTTATATGTGTATATATATTATATAAATATGTTTGGAAGTATTGTGTATGTGTGTGATGCAGTGTATCGGGGGGTTGTGTGTGTATGTGAGGGGTGCACTATGTGTGTGTGATGGATCCTGTGTGTGAGGTGTGGGTGCTGTGTGAGGGTGCTGTATGTGTGGGTGCTGTATGTGATTGATTTGTGTGAGGGTGCTGTGTGTGTGGGTGCTGTGTATGATGTGTGTGAGAGTGCTGAGTGTGAGAGTGCTGTGTATGATGTGTGTGAGAGTGCTGTGTATGATGTGTGTGAGAGTGCAGAGTGTGATGTGTGTGAGAGTGCTGTGTATGATGTGTGTGAGAGTGCTGAGTGTGATGTGTGAGAGTGCTGTGTATGATGTGTGTGAGAGTGCTGTGTATGATGTGTGATGTGTGAGAGTGCTGAGTGTGAGAGTGCTGTGTATGATGTGTGTGAGAGTGCTGTGTATGATGTGTGTGAGAGTGCTGTGTATGATGTGTGTGAGAGTGCTGAGTGTGATGTGTGTGAGAGTGCTGAGTGTGATGTGTGTGAGAGTGCTGTGTATGATGTGTGTGAGAGTGCTGTGTATGATGTGTGTGAGAGTGCTGAGTGTGATGTGTGTGAGAGTGCAGAGTGTGATGTGTGTGAGAGTGCAGAGTGTGATGTGTGTGAGAGTGCTGAGTGTGAGAGTGCTGTGTATGATGTGTGTGAGTGCTGTGTATGATGTGTGTGAGAGTGCAGAGTGTGATGTGTGTGAGAATGCTGTGTGTGAGAGTGCTGTGTATGATGTGTGTGAGAGTGCTGAGTGTGAGAGTGCTGTGTATGATGCATGTGAGAGTGCTGAGTGTGAGAGTGCTGTGTATGATGCTGTGTATGAGAGTGCTGTGTATGATGTGTGTGAGAGTGCTGTGTGTGAGAGTGCTGTGTATGATGTGTGTGAGAGTGCTGAGTGTGAGAGTGCTGAGAGTGCAGAGTATGAGAGTGCTGTGTATGATGTGTGTGAGAGTGCAGAGTGTGATGAGTGTGAGAGTGCTGTGTATGAGAGTGCTGTGTATGATGTGTGTGAGAGTGCTGTGTATGATGTGTGTGAGAGTGCAGAGTGTGATGAGTGTGAGAGTGCTGTGTATAAATGTGTGTTGGGGGGGTAAATAAAAAACTAAGGGGGGTAAATAAAGAAATTAAAAAAAAACTAAGTAGGCATTAAATCCCCCCCCTCCCTCTTACCTTTAGCCTGGGAGGGGGGGACAGGCACGTGGTAGCTGGGAGGAGGGGGACCGGCACACTCACATCATCCCTGGTGGTCCAGTGGTGAGTGAACTCTAGCCTGCGGGCTAGAGTTCACTCTCGCGAGATCCGGTCGTTGCCATGGCAACGCGGCGGATCTCGCGAGAGGAACCCGGCGGAGCTGCAAGATAGAGCTCCGCCGGGTCCTCTCCCTCCCTCCCTCCCCAGCCGCAGGTCTGTTTAAATGGGCCGGTGAGGGAGCTCTTTGATCTCCCCATCGGCCCTCCATGGAAGACAGCGGGGCCGGCGCTCGGATAGTGCCGGCCCTGCATAGACCGGCAGGGGATGTCCTGGGACCTCCCCTGCCGGCCTCGGCCCATGGCCACCGCGGCCCACCGGGCATTTGCCCGGTGTGCCCGATGGCCAGTCCGGGCCTGGCAGCACACAATTCCAGGATATAATGCTGAAATGTTGATTTCTTTTTTATTTATTTTTTTAATTCTTTATTTTTGGCATGACAGTGCGTTACAATGATGAGGAACTACATGCATTACATGGTATGAGTATTGATCAGCTTTGGTTGGTAGCCGATCCGTATTCCAGTTTACATCTGATCATACCACCATTACAGTTCGCGTGATTTTGTTCAGTTTGTAAGAATGTGCTATTTGGTGTAATTTTTTTATACATTTTGTAAGAAATTATAAGAGTTATACAATAAAAAGGAAAGAAAAACATGCAATAACAATGTATTGTAATTACCGCCAATGTCAAGCTCTGGTTTCAGCCCTTAGTAATCTATGTTATTAGGTATGAAACCGTACTCATTGCGGGGGGACCCGTTTGTTATCGACCATGGCCCTTTGTGGTTAGGTACTTATAATCTTCGTGAAATGTTAATTTCTGCACGTCATTTTAGTTATTAAATCTCATAAACATATATTTGTAAAAATAGTGGATAAGTCAATGTAACATTTATATTCCTGGGAAGTGATGGTTGCCCTTTAAAAAAAAAACAAAAAAAAAACAAGACTCCAATGTGTCTGACCCCTTAAGGACACAACTTCAGAAATATAAGGGAATCATGACAGAATATTTCCCTCATGCGTCCTTAAGGGGTTAAGCCAACCTGCCCATTTCCTTCAACAATTATTTCGTTCAATAGAGTTAACAAAACGATTACTTGTGTGAACTGTTATTGACCGTGCTGAAATGTTAATGAGACGTTCAATCATTTTAACCCAATTTCATCTCCCCTAATTAATCCAGCAGGCATGATAGTCTAAGCATTTTTTAAGCTTGGCTACATTGCTTCAACGTAATAGTACAGTTGATTTAAGAAAAAAACAAAACAATTTATTTTATTCCAAAACACTATTTCATTTAATATATTTATATAGTAAAATATTTTTAAAGTAACTCAATGTTTTACAATTTAATCAGTGCGTAGTTGTGTTTATAGCGGTTTATATAGATTATAAGGGACATCTCTTTGATGACTCAGAATTTTAAGTAATTGGGTTTTGGAGCAGATGAATTACTGAATGTAGAAAATAAACCAATCATTTTTTAAGGAGGTTTATTTACTAAGTGGTGACCTTTGGTGGACTGGAAACAAAACTGAAATATTTAACCAAAAGCAGTTAGAGAAACATATTCCAATTCAATTTATTTCCCTAAACTGGCATTCCTGTGTGTCTAAATTTTCCAGATCAGTTCTTGTCACAGCACCACAACCCATTGTTTAATTAGCAAACCCAATTAGTTTTAATGTGATGATCAAAGCCATTAAAAATCTTTAGTAATTCATTTCAAATATATATTCCTCGTTCCGCGACCTTGAATGCTTAGCGAGTTCAGAAAAGTCATTTTCATTACATTATAAAAAAAATCATATCAACTCACATCAAATAAACACCAATTTTAAATTCTTAGTATTTATCCCTACATATTTCATTTTTCAAATAGCCATTTTTAACATTAGGTCGTTGCCTGTGACTGGAAGCATACTGACATATTTTGCTCATGTAACCCGCGTAAGCTGTTATTCCTGGGGTATCAGTGACTGTGTTGAACAGACAACTATTGCAGAATATAAAATATAGATCGTAGGTTGCTCCCTGTGATGGGAGTTGACTGACTGCCACGGATGCATTTTTCTTCCAGGTAAATATGGCGCTGTTAATAAAATTCAAATCAAGGTAGTTTGCGCACCAATTGGTAAAACAAGTCTCACAGTGGGGCGTGGCCTAACCACTGAAGCGGACGGTCGCAGGATTGCTGAGCTCCAGGCCTGAAACTGACAAAACCCACTAAAAACACCCACAATCGGGTCAAATCCAACCCAGACGGACCCAAACGTTTAGGTAAACGCGATGGGGCGAAAGACAAAGAAGTTAAAGCCCGAAAAACTCCACCCGGGCACACATATTGGCGAGTTGTGGCGGAAGGCCCAAGAAGCCTCTCTCCCTAACATGGCGTCCCTTCATGGCGGATGCTCAGACTTCTACAGTGAGTCTTCGGATGAAGCAGAAGGGGAGCCCCTACAAGCCAACCCCAAACTCCCACTGAATCGAACACAGCCCCCACCACCCGCCGCAACCCCTACCCCGGTGAGCATGGAGGCCATCAGAGAATTAATGGCAGACCACCATAACAAAATATCAGCGGATGTGGCCTCAATTCGGGACACGCTGAAGGGCCTCAGTGGACGACTTGGAGCTGTGGAACACACCACGCAAGCCCAAGACACACATATCAAGGAGCTACAGCAAGAGATACTGGCGCTGAGGAACCTGTCCAAACAAAATGACTTACGGTTTGCAGAGCTGGAAGATAAACGTCGGCTGAAGCATCTCAAGATCAGAGGAATAACAGATACTGTGACGGACTCTGAACTGCCCCATTTCGTGCGGCGGCTCCTCACGATAATGCTAAACCCAAAACATGCTAAAGCAGTGATACTGGATGAAATATTCCGTATCCCAAAACCCTCTAAAGCTCCAGACGCAGCCACCCGTGATGTGATCCTGCAGTTTCAAGCCCAAAGAGACAGATCCGCAGTTCTGGCCGTGGCCAGGCTCCAACAGACCTACCCCTTCGAAGGCATGAACCTAATGTTTTATGCGGACCTCTCGGGAGCCACTTTAGCCTGGAGGAGATCCCTGCAACAATTGACATCACTTCTGCGTGAGAAACATGTCACATACCGCTGGGGCCCGGCTCACACCCTGATGGTAACAAAAGGCGAAGATACGCATAAAATTCACTGCATACAAGAGGCATCGATGATCCTGGGGCTGCTCGGCCTCCCCCCGAACGCATTGACCCAGCCAGCACCTAAGGACAGGCCTCGGAACCCCCCAAGTTGGGAAACAGCTAGCGCTGCTGAATTTGTCCCCAGACGACAGAAAGAATCACCCACCGTCGCTGCCACGACCTGAAGGTCAATTCTGGACTGTGTGAGTTACCGGGACATTGCCCCACCACTAGGCATATTATGCATAGGGACGGCCATGCACAACCCAAACCCACACTACTGAACAACCCAATCGTTTCCACCCCATCATTATATTTAGCACTATGACTTCAACTGTTTCCCCTTTCCTTGTTATTTTCTCTCGAACACCATAGTGAGCTTGTAGTTCACACCAACCAGTTAAATCTGATGCCAGAAATGTTCACTCACCTCTTAGTACATTCGATATTGCCTTGCCAAATTATAACAATATACATTGTTTTATTCCTGATACGACACTGTTTGTGCCCATAGACCTGTGGACGCGAATGAGGCACTATGGAATTATATGTACTATGCATAGCATAACAAAAACTAACGTTTAAGGGAGGGAAAAGATAGGTTATCAAAGGAGAAGAGGAGGAGGGGAAAGGGGAGGAATAATCTAGGTGTTAAGGTGTATTGGACTGCTCACACCCGAGTTCTGTTGTCTTCCTAGTTTATCGTATTTTATTACACTTTTTCATCACCTAGTACTTCGACCATCAAACGTAGTCTCTGGTACAAACTCGCATATTAGTCACTATTTATGTTAAGCTAGATCTCCCCGCTGACATAACCATAAGAAATGAACGCTGAGTATCCACCTCAGCATCCTTACGGGTGATTCTTCTGTGTATAACTTAACCAGAGACCGCTTAGGTCAAAAAATGCCAGATTGTTTATTTCCCTTTATTTTTAATGCTAACGTGGACATGGTATGTCCCTCTCTGTTTGGTGGTATGTTACTTTCCTTATATATTTACCTTTAACATTTAACCTAATTTTCATTTAATTGCACTTAACCTAGCCAAACTTTATTATTTTCTATCAAGTCAGTAAGTCAACCAGTATTAACACCTGTACTTATAGCCTTAACTGACACGCAAGACTAAAACTTATAAATATAACTTCGCCTACAACCTACAACTTAACGTTAATTAATATGCTGATATCTCCATGTTACTACTGTATCAAAGCTGTGTTTATGCTTCTTGAATTTACCATTGCGACAAAGACAAATGTTCAGCACATCTCGAGCGTTGCTCACTCATTGCTTATATTTTCTTTTATAAAACTAAAATTGTGCTGTATAGTCATATGCCACGTTATGTTTCCTCTGTATATTACTGCTTGTGACTGCTGTTGTGGCTGAACAAGCCTATTGTTAATCCATGCACTTCAAAAAAAAATAAAAAAAAAATAAAAAAAAAACAAGTCTCACAGTGTACTGTTACATGTATATCCTGTAAGATAAAATATACACACACTTCATAGTGTAGGCTATCAATATGACATATATATTAACAGCCTACACTATGAAGTGTGTGTATATTTTATCTTACAGGATATACATGTAACAGTACACTGTGAGACTTGTTTTACCAATTGGTGCGCAAACTACCTTGATTTGAATTCTATTTACGTATGTATTAAGTGTGAGGGTGACAACACACTTGGGTGGTTTGTAGTTGCGCTTGGTTTAGCGCTGATATACCTTAAAATTTGTATCTTTTAAAATATGGTGCTGTTGTTTGCTTTAAGGCTAAATAGTTTCAATCTGTGAAGTCTTGCCAAGTAGTCACAATCGACATAATGTTTGATGCAATCATAGGCGGGCTCACGGCGTGTGCCTAATCTAGGGTGCCCACGTGTCCCGGATCGCCCAGGACAGTCCCGCATTTTGTGAGTCTATCCTGGGTCCTGGGCACCTTCATTCCGGGACAATGTAATGTCCTGGAATGAGCTGGGCCCCATAATAGTGAAGAGGGGCCCCACTGGCTTCCCCACTATGCCAGCGCCGCGGGCCCCCATTTTTTCACCCGCTGTTGGAGATGTGCGAGCGGCAACTCTCCCTCCCTCTCTCCCTCCCCTCCCAGCGCTGTGAGGAAGCGAGGTCACACGCAATGACGTCACTTCCTTCCAGCACTCTTTGCAGATGCTGCGCGGGAGGAAAGAGAGAGGAGCTCTCAGGACCAGATAAGTGCATGGAATGAGGAAGGGGGGGGGTGAAATCTTTATCATGGATTCAATAGTACTACTAGTGATTCAATGATAAAGATTTCACCACCTTCCTCTTAGTAAGTTAGTACTGGGCGGGGGGTGGACGGTGGACATGAAATGGGGGAATAGACATGAAATGGGGGCGGGGAAATGGACATGAAATATGGGGGGATATGAAATATGGGGGGGAATGGACATAAAATGGGGGGCCTCGACAAAACAATTTAACCCCCCACTAGGGGGAATCATGCTGCCCAGCAATAATTAAAATTATTCCTTAACAGAAAATCTACAAGTGATCGGATTACGCAGAAGAAATTTCACGCCGATGATGTACATATACATTTTTGTTGGGAAAGATGGTCTGCTCTTGAGGAATTATAGCTCATATAGAAACACATTATTGGAATAATTGAACTGCAGTCACGAATCAAGAGAAAGACCTTCTTAGTCACCTTCTTAGTCATCTGTGCCAGGTACCCAGGTGGCCAAATCTCCTGCTGAGTCAGACTCATTTATTCCCAATCTACCTAGAGACATTGGTGGATGTGGTTCTTGGCCCAAGTGGGTTAGATGACATTTTATACAAAGTGCTTTAGGGGAAAACAAATCTTTTGTGCTTATTGTTTTGTGAGATTTAACCCCTTAACGACACGTCTTCTGGAATAAAAGGGAATCATGACGGAATATTTCCGTCATCTGTCCTTAAGGGGTTAAGGTAGCTTTTTTTTTTTTTAAATGTTATCATTTAAATTGCTTTACACTCTGCAGAACAGTTTTTCTTTTTAATTTTCTTTGTTATATTCAACTTCCTGAGAATAGGGACTGATATTGGCACGGTAACTATATATTTCTTTAGTAATGTTGTATTAAAGATAAAATCAGTGTCCCCCAACTTTGTATGATATTTGATATATTTGAAAATTCCTTACCTTGACCCAGATGAATGGCTATGGGACATCCTGACGCGAGAAGACTTCCTAAGAAAAATTGGACAACATACTTTCAAGCCAATGTGGCTGACTTATCGATAGAAAAAAGTGACTGAAGCCATAGCTCCTAAGTAGATGATAGCAGTTAGCTACTGGTCTAAATGTTCACCTTGCTTTTCCTCACCAAAAAAAAGAAAATTTGGTTAATATTTGATTGATGTGTGCAATTCGCAGGAAGAAAGTTTTTTGTTTAAAAATTAAAGATTCAAAGTTAAATCTGTACAAAAAAATAAAATACTTTCTCATTCCATAACTGAATTGTAAAGCACCTAGCCAAACACAGAAAAAGCTTAGTAAATCATATTTTGAGTTACGGAGAAGGTGAGGGACTTAAAGTGTTTTTATTGTCAGAAAAAAAAAAAAAAATACCCTCTTTATCTTAGTTAAGGTAAAAGCATAAATTATATAAAGTTCGGATCTGAAAATATTGAATCGGGAGACTAGGCCTGTTATACTCCATATATTAATGAAATCCTGAAACATCGATGGCCAGAAACGGGAAATCTCCTACAGTAGACAACTGGTCTAAGATCCATTCACAAATAATCACGCAGTGTAAAATGGAAAGAGCCACAGCCTGTTACTTTATTACTAAAAGTTATATTTTTTGTGATAAATGGATAAAAAACAAACGCTATTCAATATCTAACCCTAGGTGCATTTTATTCCTTGAGTCCATTTTGGACGTAAAATTTGTAACACGTCCTGTCTTGAGTCCTACATCGAATTGTGAAGTTTCCTTCCTGTATATTTGTTTATTTAAATATTTATGTATGGATGTTTGTCGTGTTTTTTTTAAATAAAGAGTTGGAAAAAAATGACATAAGGTTTGGTTTCTGCTTGGCTTCTACAGCATCATACTATATAGACCAGGAAAAAAAAACAAAAAAAAATATTATCAGCAAAGAATCACAGACTATGGCCATATTACTTATTAAGAATGCATGCACTTTTTCAGATAGACTCAATTCTATTTCACACCACACCACATGACAAGTAACATGGGGCTAACAAAAATAAAGGTTGTAGATAAATGTAAAAATAGCAACTAGCAGATATATGGAAGAGAATCTAGGTTGAAATTGCAAAGTGCAATATTGACTTCTCAGTTAATCCACTATTTCAGCCCCAGCATATATGTTGTTGTCATTGGTTAGGTTGGCCGATAGACCCTTTAAATACCATGTGACACAGGTTAGACAGATACTCAGCATCTAAAATATGTCCGAGGCCATTAAATTTCTCCAGAGACATACAGCACCAGGCATTAGGGGCATCCTGATTTGTTATAATAGACAGGTGATCCTCCCAAAAGCATTAAATGTTGAATCTGGTGTCAGGATTGGGTCAGTGGCTTCAGGGAAAGCAGGTATATAATTGGCAATTATACGGCAGGGGGACTGACACAGGTCACAGTGCTTGTGTGATGATGCACAATGGGAGGCTGGGGCCACAACACAGATAGTGCTTCAAAAACCAGGTCTCTTGGAAGTGCAGAGGTAGACGTTCAGTTCAGGATTTGATTTAGGGACAACAATGAATAAAACACGTATTTCAGAACTAAAGTTTTGTAAATAAAACTGCATGACTACATGTTTCACGGGCCAGTCCTACATTCAAATCCCAATATGGTAATCCTGTGCAGAAACCAGTAATTAAGACCGCTAACTGCGTAACGAAGGCAAGCTAGGGATACTATAAATTATAGTACTCTGTGGGGTTTATCCACTAAACCAAGGTTTGGAAACATTTTCTGGTTACGCCATTATGCCCACTCAGCTGTTTAAACCTATAATTCACAGTTCTCCTGTTTGAATTCACAGTTTATTGAAAAAATCCTTGTTGAAAACACAGGAATAAAGCACAAATAAAAAGGGATTTTTTCATTAAACACATACAAAATAAAAATAATTTATAGGACCATTGTTTTAATGAACGCTGTAATGGAGCTCCCTGTACCGCTGGCTGGGTACCTCAACCAAGGACCGATTCCTAGCTGGAACAGGGGACAAACCGCAGCACTTCTGCCCACAGTCGCCGTGGCTTGACTGGGGCCCTGGAACCGCTCCCTCCTCGAACCGAATGGGGAACTCGCTCTATCCACCCACGGGCACTGGAGGACACTCAGTGAATCCTCCACACTGGAACAGTGATTAGCCCTTTCCCCTCCCAGTAACCAGACGACACATGTTTCTGGGAGTACAAGCTGGAATACTTTAATCTGGCCAGATGGCCTGCTTTTATACAGTTTAGACACAGTCAAACATAACACTCCATAACACTCCCACACAAAACAGCATAATCCCTCCCCCTGGACCTGAGAGGTAACTTGTTACAAGCAAACATCTAACATACTCCTCCCCTGTGCCTGAGAGATAATTACTTGAGCACACAAACATATAATTGAATTATCTCTCAGTACAGAAACAGGCAATACGACAAAAAAAATACAAAATACCCCCAAAACACATGAAAACCCCCACAAACTTCCCATCCCCGGATAGCCCCAATCTGGCTGACCAACATATCCAAAAATCACCCAGACCGGTTCAGGGGTCTGGGATTTCAATGGAAGTCATAATTTTGACCGACCGTGTACATGGTCCTATGCCCAAAACAATTCAATTAAATCAGTGCTAACGGTCGGTCAAGTTTGGTAGTTTAAAACCGAACAGCCTACCGAACAGAATTCATAGTTCTACCCTGGAACACAGTGTCAATTGGGCTTAAAAAGCTCCTGGGTGGTCTCTGGTTCGTGCGGTTGTTCGGTTCATGAACAACATAGTCCCAAATCCCATGAACAGAGTAGTTTGCAGGGTATTTTGTATGGCCCATAATCCTGGGGCTGATTAGCAGGCTCCTCCAGGAGTTTGTGGCAAACGACCAGACCACAGGGCATTTGTCACATTTTATCATATTGTTGGATAAACTTCTTAAATCATTTAATACATTGAGATTTTTTTTAAATATATATTTTTTTATTTATTGATATATTTTTTTACATATGAGATTTTTAAATATTTTTATATTTTGAAAAAATATAATTTTAAAAGTTTATCACAAAATATGAAATCATTTGAAAATGTGATCTTAAAATATTAAATCGAGGCCTTAGTTAGGCAAGTTTGTGTATAACTTGATACAGATATTCCTGATTTACACTCATACAGTCTCCATAAAATTAATACATTCATTCTTTGTTCGGCTAGTTAATTGTCTACCTGAACAAGAGGTCTACAGAAATATGACAGCGGAATCTGATCAAACTTAAGGAATCATTAAAATAATGGCCCTATTGTATGTGTTTGATGAACCAATCCCTTGTTATATTGGGTTTTATTCCTGTGTTTTCGACATGGATTTATTCCCTTACATTTCAATAAATTCTATGTATATATTGCTGGCAAATGTATAGAGTGAGAGTAAAAGCTATTTAAATATAGATCACTCACCAACTACTAACCTGTTTTTCAGCATAGCATAAACCTGTATGCCGAGAATTGGCTGACTGAGGAGAGCAGGAGAACCAGAGGCGGCTCTAGACTTTATGAGGCCTTAGGCGAAACTCAAACATGAGGCCCCACTAACAAAAAAGTGTCACATTGATGCACAGTTTACCTGTGTATGTGCCTGGGAGTGTGTCTGACAGAGAGTATCTTTGTGTGTGTAAATGTATGTCTCCGTGAGCATGTTTGCGTTTTTGTCTGAGACCCTATGTGTATGGGGTAGCTGCTTGAAGTGTGTATTGGGGGGGTGATGGTGAGAGGGAGAGGCGGGTGATGGTGTGTGAGGGGTGATGGTGAGAGGGAGAGGGGGTGATGGTAATGTGAGAGTGAGAGGGAGGATAATGTGAGGGAGGGGGGATAATGTGAGAGGAAGGGGGGTAATGAGGCTGAGGGTGGTGGTGAGGCTGAGGGTGAAGGGGGGTGATGAGGCTGAGGGGGCGTGATGCTGAGGGTGGTGGGGGATGGTGAGGCTGAGGGTCATGGTGAGGCTGAGGGTGGTGAGGGTGATGCTGAGGGTGGTGGGGGAGGGTGAGGCTGAGGGTGGTGAGGCTGAGGGGGAGAAGGCGGAGTGATGGTGAGGGGGGTGAGAGAGCTTACCTTTTCTTCCCTGATGGTCCAGTGGGCTCCCTGGTGGTCCGGTAGCCAGTGCTTCCGGTCTGCAGCTCCGCAGAGCTGCAGACCATGTAATCTCGCGAGATGTCAGAGCGTTGCCGTGGTAACCCGCGGCAACGCTCTGATTGGCCAATTCTCGCGAGACACATGGTCTGCAGCTCTGCACACTGCGGAGCTGCAGACCAGTGTCTGCGGTGGCTGGCAGGGCAAGCCGCCTGGCCCCCTCCTGGTCAGTGACTGAGGACTTGACACAGTCTGCCCACAGGTGGTTTAGGCGGCCGCGAGGCCCCAGCCAGCGCAAGGCCTTAGGCGGCCGCCTAAACCACCCAATTAGAGAGCCTCCTCTGAGGAGAACCTTCCTCCATGTGGTTCTTCTGCTTCCCATCACAGCAACTACCGAGAGTAAGCTATAGTTACTCCCTAGACTAGACTCCCTAGAGTTTCCTGCGCTCGTGTCCAGGCTGTTCAGATGCCAATGTGCTCACGATGACGCCAGCGTATCTGTGTCATCAGGAAGATTGCGCTGGTCAATTTATCCGAACGCAAGGTTTGAATTAATGAAAACTTATAATTAAATAAAACTTGACAACTTTGCTGGATGAACAGTGTTGCTGCATTTAATATGATTATATAGTACCAACTAGTATTCCTTTAGCCTGTAAGCTCACGGGCTATTTAACTAAGCACTTTGTATAAAAAAAGCTTCAATGGCTCGATCTCAGCTCGTGGCCAGTGTCCTTTTTATCTTTTGTATTGGTCTATGTGAATATTGTACTGTTTTGTTTCACAACTAAAATAAATCAATAAGCCAAAATAAGACACTAAGTTTATTCAAACCGGATCTTTGTCAATTTGTATGTTTTCACATAAACGTGTTTGCCATAGTTTTTTAATGTGCCCATTGTGCAACGCAGCAACATATGTTAGTGCTACGTAAATAATAATGATATGTTGAGAAGGAGCAGGCATTTTTCTTTTTCGTTTACGTTTCCTTTTATCTTTAAATTAAAATCTCAAGTCAAAGATTCCACTGCAGGTGAAAAAGTCTCTTATAACACTAGCTTTTTGTCTACTAAAAAAGCAATAGGTCTGCTGAATGTTCAAAATATTCCAGAAACAGACACCAACATTTCTGGTAACAAAAGACCAAAAATATTTTATAAACATGACACATTTATTCTATTTAGGAAAATAAGTAATGGGAGGCAATTCACGGGGAGAGGTACATAATAATAAATAAATTGTGTCTTAGTTATCCAATACATGACTGCATCTTCTAAGGTCATAGCTTAGGAGTCTAAACAGACTTTGATCCATTAATCGACAGCAGCTTATATAGAACTTTTCTCCAGGGAGAGCTCAACGAGTGCTTAACTAATGCTTATGTATGAGTTGTTTAAAAGTTAGAAATGTTATTAAAAGTCTGGTTCAAAACATATGGCTTAAGACTTCATTAGAAAATGTCCAGGGGAGCAACCTCTGCTACTACCTGTCCTGGGTAGAGTTCTGCAAAGTTGGAGTAACATGGCTAAAAGCTTACTCGGTGTGTTTGTGGTGAATTCTTGGCACCGTTAGCATCAAAGTACATGCTTATTGACATAGGCGTGCGCAGCCTTTTGCATTAGGGTGTGCACCCTAAAGCACAAACACACGCCGCGCGTGTGTGTGTGTGTATATATATATATATATATATATATATATATATACATATATATATATACGTATATAAATATTCACAGACACACACACTCACAGACACACACTCACACTCACAGAAACACACACACACTCACAGACACACACACACACTCACACACACTGACACACACATACTCACACACTCACAGACACACACTCACTGACACACACACTCACAGACACATACTCACACACTCACAGACACACACTGACACACACTCACAGACTCACACACACATACTCACACTCACAGACACACACTCACACACACACACACACACACACACACACACACACACACACACACACACACACACACACACACACACACACACACACTGACACACACACACTCACACACTGACACATACTCACACACTCACTGACACACACACTCACAGACACATACTCACACACTGACAGACACACACAGACACACACTCACAGACACACACTCACACACACATACTCACACACTCACAGACACATACTCACACACTCACAGACACACACTGACACACACACACACTCACACAATGACACTTACTCACACACTCACTGACACACACACTCACAGACACATACTCACACACTTACAGACACACACTGACACACATTCACAGACACATTCTCACACACTCACTCACAGACACACACTCACACACACTGACACACACATACTCACACACTCTCAGACACATACTCACACACTCACAGACACACACTCAAACACTCACAGACACATACTCACTGACACACACTCACTGACACACACTCACAGACACACACAAATTATTATATTTTAATTTTTTTTTTAAATGTCCACCCAGCCTCCTACCTGGAGTGCTGGTGGACTTGTCCCTGGGGTCCAGTGGGGGGCGGGCGCCTCTCTGCAGCTCAGCGCGCGGCGAGGGAGCTCTCTGCTGTCTGCTCCCTCTCGCCGCGCGGGCTGTCTGCTGGAGCTGGGAGCCGGAATATGACGTCATATTCCGGCTCCCGGCATCAGCGCGCGGCGAGAGGAAGCAGAGAGCAGAGAGCTCCCTCGCCGCGCGCTGAGCTGCAGGGTGGGGGGGAATCATCACCTCTTGCCCTCCCATGACAGGGGCAAGAGGTGAAACAGGGGGCACTGAGTGCCTGCAGGAACAGCGTTCCTGCTCAAAAAAAGTGCAGGAACGCTGTTCCTGCAGGACTCAAACCATAGGGGTGCGCACGGGGATTAGGGTGTGCCCAGGCACACCCGGCACACCCCGTGCGCACGCCTATGCTTATTGAAAAGTCCATCTTAGTATGTAGGGCAACATAAGGTTTGTTTTAGGTAGCGTGCATTGCATGTCACAATGTGTTGCATTCTAGAATCTTCTGGCGTCCGTAGACAGACTTGAAAACAAGAGCAAAGTGTTATTTCTGGAAAAGCACTTGCAAAACAAATAAAGAGCCAGAGGGACCACCAGTAGAGTGTTGCCCATGCTACGCTTATCATTAAAGGGTTACTCCAACCAGCATGACCACTTCAGTTTTTTGTAACACCACTTCCTGCAGCGTCATTGGGTCATCATTAGCTAGCCTGGAACAAGAGCCACCATGACCACTTTTTGTAACACCACTTCCAGCAGCATCATTGGGTCATCATTAGCTAGCCTGGAACAAGAGCCAACATGACCACTTTTTGTAACACCACTTCCAGCAGCATCATTGGGTCATCATTAGCTAGCCTGGAACAAGAGTTAGATTTCTATGCATAGAGTTGCATTAATTTGCGCTGAGATATCAGCTGATGACAGGGACATGGGCAAGAGAGAAGACCATTGTATTTGCCCCATTACTGGGGAACATCTCCAGAGTACATCTACCATCACAACCACTACAGCCAGTTGTAGTGGTTATGATGGTTGGAGCAACCCTTTAAGACAGGCTGAGCATTGAATAAATGCAAAAAATTAAGAACATTCCCTTAAATGTAAAAATAATTATTTTTTAAAAGTGCTTTATTTCAGTCAAATTAGCACGGTTTAGCAGACGAGGTAACGATTGCCCACGTAGTCTATAGCATTTGTCGGAGGTGTTCCTATGTTGGTGTGCAGCTCCTGCACACAGAGGCCGGTATACATGGAATGGGTTAAAGCACACATTGGAATTACAGTAACCTGCTGTCCGTCACAGAAAGCTTGTTTACTGCTCCTCCATCATCAGCACCCAGGCTTTAACAGACAGCTCGGAATAGCAATTAGGGGACAGTCTGCCTTGTGTGAGCACCAGGGACAGAATACTGAGTATCTGGGCCCGGGGATGGGAAGCTGCAAACTGTGTATTGTGTATGGACATTAATAAAGGGTTAATCTGTGTTATATTTCTGTAGCTTGGAAGATATTAATCTGTCTTCTGTTTGTAGACAAGATAATGATGTTTTAATCTACGTTCTCTGTCGGTTAATCTAATTTCGCGTTGTTATAACATGGAAAGGATTGGAGTGTGCTTTTTTTTTATTTAAAAGTTTAATTTTGTTTTACAAGTGAAAGAACACAAAATACTAAATAAACATGTTCAAAACACAAAATAAATAAATGTGCAATACATTATGCATGTGCAGAGAACTACTGCATATGAAGATTCAACACGATATATATTGTATAAAAACGCGCATCAAAAATATACCACGAGATAAGACGGAACGCAATTCAGGATACAGGTAACAAACCCATGAACACAAACTGAGTAAAATAAATAGGGAAGGGGATAAAACCAAAACAACAATGAATACACTGCTGGATTGATAAATAAAGCAACGAGGGGAATGCAAGACACATGGGCTCTCACAGTAATTATCCCCCCCCCCCCTTTTTACACTAATATGTAAAATAACTACTTAGAACAGGAGGTGGGAATTGCAAGAGAATGAAAAATACAAAGTAGAATTCTCTTTATGTCATCAAAGAATTTTAACCAATAGGGATCGGATCATTTTAATTCTTCCATTTGCCGTAGACCCCCAGCTTGGTGAATCCAAAACAATTCCAGATCAAGAGTGATAGAAATCTTGGCAGCCATTAAGAGATAAAAAAAAGAAGTCATTTTTATATTTGGTGATAATTTATTAGAGTGCAGCAGATAAGCCTCGGAGACGGTGCGGTTCTTAGGCAGAAACAAAAGATGAGGGTCAAAAATGAAGTCAACTGCGAAGTTACAGGGTTAAAGCACTACTCAGGAGCGATACTTAGTTTTCTGTCCAACTTATACCATAAGATCAGGATCAGACAAAAAAAGTAGATTCCCAACTGTTGAAGAACCATGCCTCCCATTCTAAAAGCTGACAAGGCATCATGGGAATAGTAGTTAAAAAATCACTGGGAATCTGCATTTTGACCACACATGCTTTACATTTATTCCACAAACAGGAGGACCAGAACTTAGGTGGTGTTTGTTCCACGTTCACGTAGATTTGCCTACAGTTTCCGTTACTAAATTTGTCTGATATGTACAGGGAAATTAATGGAACAATTTGTCAAAGGGAAAAAAAGTATATAACGCAGTGTCCAGACAGTGAGTCATTCTCACTGTATTCTCCTGGTGTAATTGAGGAAAGCAGAAAAGAACTGTGGTTGATGCTGAAAAAAAAAAAGAATATAAGTCCCATTTATTTTGATTTTGATTAATAGTGTCTAAAAGCGAACCATATTCACTGCGAAACACGATCTTCTGAAATAAAAAAACAAAAAGCAATTTCCAGAAGCGCGGCTTATAACAATCGCATAAACTCGGAATTGTACAGAAATAAAATAAAAATGGCAAACGGAGACATAATAGCTGGTCTGGAAATCCTTCAACATGTAATCATAGTCGCTGCTTGGATGTTTTAACCTCAATTTTGCAGTTCGGATTTCAATTCGGCACAATCGAAATTTAGTTAATAAACCCCTATTAGACTGGAAAATGCCAACTGACCTAGGAATATGGATCATGTCCATGTGTGCTATACATGGCTCAGATACCCAGAGGTGTGTTACCTATACTAGACATAGCTAAGAGATTATACAATAGTATGAGACAATAAGGGGTTACTAGAATACAGAAATAAAGTATACAGAGTGCAGGTCAGGAGTCCGGATGCAAGTCACTGTAACCACCTAATAGGGAGCTCCAATTAGGGGGTAACCCTCCAAAATATGTGGGTAATAGGAGTAGGTGATGTGTAGAGTCCCACAAGGGGAAACCAACATCAGGAGAGCTCCACTGTATAAGAAATGAGGAAGGGAGGCCCTACCTTCAATCAATCTAAGGATAAAAAGGGATATGCAAACAAAAAGTATAAAAAAATGGGAATAGAATAGAATCTGGAAACATATGAGACACTCATGTGCATTGTATCTTGATGTCTATCATGTCTATCTGTGGGTAAATAGCTTGGTTGTAGCTGAGGTATCAATTCCCAAAAACACGAGTTATTTGCAGGCCGGGAGAAGGTCCTTGGGCTACACAGGGAAAGATACATTTGGTTGTTCCATCCTAAAAAATGCATTCCTTCACCTGTGTGTCTCTTAATCTTGTATCTTAGCCCACCCTTTGTGTCTCTTACAAACCCCCTTATATGTTTCTTACTTCCCCCAGTACCATTGTGTGACTCTTACTCCCCTAGCCCCTTTGTGTCTCTTACTTCCCATGCCCCTTTGTGTGCCTGTTTCTTGGCCCAATAGATTTGTGTCTATTTCTTCCCCCAACCCCTCTGTGTGCCTATTTCTTCCCTCCAGCCACTTTGAATGTCTCTTACCTTCCCCTCCCCTTGCATGCCTGCTTACCTCATATTAGTGTAGCCTTGCGGCCTGTTGTAGAGGGTTTTCTTATCCTCTACCCTGTCTGACAAGAAGTTGTCGCTGCTCCTATCTGATGTGTCTGTCTGTGTAAGTGTGTTTGTTAGTAAATGTGATTATGTCAAGAGCTGTGTGAAGGGGTGGAGTTTGGTAACGGGCCAGTGGTGGGGTTTTAGGAAGGGGCCACCAAACTATTTTTGGCCTGGTTTTATTTGACCCTAGCAATGCCTCCTATCATATATAATGTTTGTTTATCAGACACTAGGTAAAACGATAGCAGATTCTATACTTGCGAGTGCTGTTGTATCCGTTTACTGGTCTTTGTAGGATTCTGACCCTACGGTAACTTTACTTTTCTTTTTCGGATCCAGACCATGAAACTTGAATGCCCTGCATTCATTTGAATCCTGATAAAGTTCTTTTAGGAAGCATAAGTAACATCCGCCATGTTTTTTAAGTATTTAGCTTCTAATATTAGACAGGTAGCTTTCACAATATTCCTGAGCATTTGGCTCAAATTATTAAAAATGTTTAGCTTTTTTCTTTTTGGCACCACATTTCTGAGCTCTTGAATTGAATATGTGAGGGTCCATTCCCCATTCCTGAACTTCATGAAACTTAGAAAGGAAACTGTTAAAACTTAAATGTAGTGATTAGTGATGTCCCGAACGGTTCGCCGAAGAGTTCGCGAACGGTTCGCCACGGACTCATCATTGAGTAAACTTTGACCCTGTACCTCACAGTCAGCAGACACATTCCAGCCAATCAGCAGCAGACCCTCCCTCCCAGACCCTCCCACCTCCTGGACAGCTCACTAAGAATGCAGCTTCACAATGAATGTAAAATGGATGCTGTCCAGGAGGTGGGAGGGTCTGGGAGGGAGGGTCTGCTGCTGATTGGCTGGAATGTGTCTGCTGACTGTGAGGTACAGGGTCAAAGTTTACTCAATGATGAGTCCGTGGCGAACCGTTCGTGGCAAACCATTCGCGAACCGTTCGGCGAACCGTTCGGGACATCACTAGTAGTGATGTGTGTTACCTGTCACTCGCCTGATATGTAATTTTTATTGTTTTTATGTTTGTGTCTGTGTGTGTTTTTTTTATATATATATATTTTTATATCCATGTATTATCATGGTGTCTATTGTTTAAAACAATAATAAAAATGTAAGATTAAAGAAAACAAAACAAAAAATCAAATGTATTAAAACAGAATAGCAGGAGTTAAGAATTTAATGAGAATAGAGGAAGCCCTTTGGGGCAATATTTTCTGAAGTCAGCAACCTCTAACAGTGGGGGACATGCAAGGAAAGTGTGTGGTTTAATAATGTATTCCTTTGCTTATTGCTCAACAATGAAAAGGGTTAAAAAGGGGGTTTACTCTATCATCAATTTATTGATACCTCGTTTGTAATTTCCCCTGTTTGTGTTTCCGGATTACAAACTTTGAGTTCTGCTGCACTCGCATGATTGTGTATGCTTACAGCCATCAATAACGTAAATCTGCGATGACTTTAGGGACATCAAATCGATGGCTGGCCAAGGGGTGTAATAAGACGTCTGCCTGATTACAAGGCGCTGTGACCTTCGGCTTGTCTCACAAGGTGAACGCAACTGGCATTTTTAAAGCGGATAACAAAAAATTGATAACTTCCGAAAGGGCAAGTAATATTCACGCCAACTTTTACAGCCCTGAAAACGAGGAATATTTACAGCTATCTGGCGACCACGATGTAAAATATAAGCATTGTGTATTATGCAGCTGCCTCGTAATTATGCATGGACGTAAAAATGAGTTATTGGAAGTCACAGCGGTGAATCATTTATATGATTAATTAGACCAAACCTAAACTAATTTTTCTGCTTCTCTCCTTAATAACATTAAATCTATATGTCTCTTTAAAGACAATAAAAAACAAAGACAGCTATGCATAAATGGTGTAAAGAATTCCGTTACAGATGCCGGAAGAAGATGACAAGAGAGAAATTTCAATCTGTAAAGTGTACAATGCGTTCTTATTATTTTTCTTGCTACGTTATCATTTTTTTCCTGTGAAATTAAAGGGGATGTGTTGGCATGTTCTTTCACTGTCTTTTCCCATGAAAATAAAAGCCATGGACAATACAGCACTAAATTTTAAATATCACTTTAACCTCTTAAGGACACATGACATGTGTGACATGTCATGATTCCCTTTTATTCCAGAAGTTTTGTCCTTAAGGGGTTAAAGAGGAAAAAAAAGCATAAAACATTATCTCAATTAAAAAAAAATATATATTCCTAAGAACATATCACACCTAAAGAAACTCTGACTCTTTGCAGAGTTTGTTTTTAAATTAATTATTTTTTGTCCCTCTGTTTCTCCTTGGTTTTATATCTTTTTTCTATATATCTTTTTTCTATATATTACTTTTTGTAACGAGGAGCGTGATATTTGGCTAATTGTTTCATGGGCAGAGCTTAGAGGGACACTATAAGCATCCAGGCCAATTCATCTTATTGAGGAGGTCTGGGTCAAGTGCCCCTGTCCCCTTAACTCTGATTACAGAGAAACTGCAATATTTACAATGCAGGGTTAAGATAACCTTTACTGTTTGTGTACCAGAAAGCCACTAGAATCGCTTCCTGCATTCTAACACAGTTTAACCCTGTGAATAGGACATCCACACACTGCGCATTAGGTTGCCTTTTGAAGAGACAACAGTGGAGGAAGACACTGAGCCAGCACACAGGGAAAGTGTATTTGGGAAAGGTATAATTATTAAAATACATAAACAAACAAAAAAAAATGAGAGAAAACAAAACAAAACATGATTTTGATCTCAAATCTAAAATTTACCTTGAATTCTCACTTTAACCCCTATAATATCACGCAACAGGCACCAGGACATTTCATCTTTTTTAACTAGCATTATAAATAATTTGGTTGCCATAAAACAGCACTTACTGCATTATATAGATATTGATATATTACATGTTCTGAAAACCTGCTTCCTACTGGGAAAAAAAATCCTGTTAATAGGTATTTAGACATTAAATAGCCTGTAGCATCTCGGCTATGGGCACAGAAAAACCTTGTGCAGGGATAAACATCAAAATGTTGTTTGGAATTATCACAAAATGCTGAATTAGTTCATTACTGGTAACAATGTGCTGGTGTTCGTGGTGTAATGTACAAAGGGGGACAATTCAATGCAAACTGTAAGTGCGTGAACAGGGATAAGTCATCTCTGGCCTAGTTGTCAATGAGCACTGAAAATCATATTATGCTTGTCCGGCCAAGACAGAGCTGTAATCCACAGCAGCCTGAACTCAACGGTCTCAGACGTGAGGCACCTTTATGTTACCAACGGAGAGTGCTGCTGATAGGGAAGTGGATTCAGTGTATACCCAGAAAGGAATGGGCAGCACTCTCGTCATAACCCAGAAAGGAATGGGCAGCACTCTCGTCATAACCCAGAAAGGAATGGGCAGCACTCTCGTCATAACCCAGAAAGGAATGGGCAGCACTCTCGTCATAACCCAGAAAGGAATAGGCAACACTCTCGTCATAACTCAGAAAGGAATAGGCAGCACTCTCGTCATAACTCAGAAAGGAATAGGCAGCAGTCTCGTCATACCACATTGAGCCTTGAATATTTATCCAACTCAGGAAGCAACGTTGTTTTAACTTGAGAGGTTTGAGAGGTTTTCCTGAACTTTCCTGGATTGGCACCCTGACTGAATGCCCGGTCTGGCCCCTCTGTGCCCACTCCACTGTCACTTCTCATTCTCAAAGGCAGGTTCCTGGGCAGAGTGAATTCCTGCACTTCCTGTAATACATTCATTGTAACATATTAAACCTCATTAAATAACATTACATAGAGTGCAAAGCTTTCAGAGTTAGAGGATTAATTTGTATTATTTTTTTTACATTAGAAAGGATAATTAAAGGGACACTGTAGTCACAAAAACAACTTTAGCTTAATGAAGCAGTTTTGGTGTATAGAACATGCCCCTGCAGCCTCACTGCTCAATTCTCTGCCATTTAGGAGCTAAATCATTTTGTTTATGTAGCCCTAGTCACACCTCCCTGCATGTGACTTACACAGCCTTCCTAAACAATTCCTGTAAAGAGTCATCTAATGTTTACACTTCCTTTATAGCAAATACTGTTTAAAGGGACACTATAGTTACCAGAACAACTACAGATTATTTAATTTGTTCTGGTGAGTAGAATCATTACCTTCAGGCTCTTTGCTGTAAACAATGTCTTTTCAGAGAAAATGCAGTGTTTACATTGCAGCCTAGTAATACCTCCGCTGACCATTCCCCAGATGGCTACTGGAGGTGCTGAAAACTTGAACTGGGAAATGATGGAGGAGAAAAAAGCGCAGACTGGGGAATGATGGAGGAGCAAAAAGGGCAGATTGGGGAAATGATGGAGGAAAGAGAAGGACAGACTGGGGAATGATGGAGGAGAAAAAAGGGCAGACTGGGCAGTGATGGAGGAGAAAGAAGAGCAGGCTGGAGGAATGATGGAGGAGAAAGAAGAGCAGGCTGGAGGAATGATGGAGGAGAGAGAAGGGAAAACTGGGGGAATGATGGAGGAGAGAGAAGGGCAGACTGGGGAAATGATGGAGGAGAAAGAAGAGCAGGCTGGAGGAATGATGGAGGAGAGAGAAGGGAAAACTGGGGGAATAATAGAGAAAGAAGGGCAGACGTTAGGAATGATGGAGGAGAAAGAAGGGCAAACTGTGGGAATGACGGAGGAGAAAGAAGGGCAGACTGGGGGAATGATGGAGGAGAAAGAAGGGCAGACTGGGGGAATGATGGAGGAGAAAGAAGGGCAGACTGGGGGAATGATGGAGGAGAAAGAAGGGAAAACTGTGGGAATGATGGAGGAGAAAGAAGGGCAGACTGGGGGAATGATGGAGGAGAGAGAAGGGGAGACTGGGGGAATGATGGAGGAGAAAGAAGGGCAGACTGGGGGAATAATGGAGGAGAAAAATGGCAGACTGGAGGAATGATGGAGGAGAAAGAAGGGAAAACTGTGGGAATAATAGAGAAAGAAGGGCAGACTGGGGGAATGGTGGAGGAGAGAGAAGGGCAGACTGGGGGAATACTAGAGAAAAAAGGGCAGACTGGGGAATGATGGAGGAGAAAGAAGGGCAGACTGGGGGAATGATGGAGGTCAAAGACAGCAGAATGGGGGAATGATGGAGGAGAAAGAAGGGCAAACTGAGGGAATGATAGAGAAAGAAGGGCAGACTGGGGGAATGATGGAGGAGAAAGAAGGGCAAACTGTGGGAATGATGGAGGAGAAAGAAGGGCAGACTAGGGAAATGATGGAGGAGAAAGTAGGGCAGACTGGGGAAATGATGGAAGAGAAAGAAGGGCAGACTGGGGGAATGATGGAGGTCAAAGACAGCAGACTGGGGGAATGATGGAGGAGAAAGAAGGGCAAACTGAGGGAATGATAGAGAAAGAAGGGCAGACTGGGGAAATGATGGAGGAGAAAGAAGGGCAAACTGGGGAAATGATGGAGTAAGAAGGGCAGACTGGGGAAATGATGGAGTAAGAAGGGCAGACTATGGGAGCACAATGTAGGAGAGAGAAGGGTAGATTAAGGACAGGTCGGAAGATAGTGTATAGACCATCAGACTTTAATGGGGGTTCTAATTTTAAAATAGCTGGAGTGGCCTTTCTTTTTTACCTACATCTGCGCTTTGCTAATTATCCAGCCTTTTCCTATGCTCCATATTATTTACTGGTGCCCATAGTTTAAACCTAAATATATTCTATAGCAACAAATTAGCACTATCTGTATCTAATTACTACACTACATTGGAATCCTTTGTCCTCAATAAATGGGTGCAGAGCATGCTTACGCTTGTGGCCAAGGCCTGGAACGGGGAGCACAGTTTCCCAAAACGGTTACATTTATTGACATCAATCTCGGTGTTCAGCAGTCGCCGCTCTTTTTTAGAGATTGGTTTTTTAGACAGCTCCTTCTGTAAACCTCTCCCTGAAAAGGCCTGTAAAAGGTGAATGGCAAAATAATATTAGTCAAATTAAACAAATATGTCTGACTTAGTTATGAGGAAATACAATTTCCTAGTATTTTATCCTTACTTGTTAATATTAACTTTGCCCTACAAATAGCACTCATTTGATTCATTTTTTATAATGATATATATTGTAATTAGCATTAATTATATCGGACCCTTGAATTCTGTGTGGGTCAATATTTCTATACCCTACGTTACCCACACCCGTTGAAATGCTGAATTTTAAAGGCTGACTGTTGCTGAATTCATAAGGGTAACTGCATTAAAAGATTTCACCAACCTAAAACCAGTGTTTTCACAAGTAAACCTTGCTGTGCTGCTCTGCCCCCCTGAAAAAAGAAAGCTGAAACTCCCCTTGATTCATCTCCGAAGCCAAGCTCTCCCTGCAGCCCAATTATCCACAGCTGACATCACTCCTCCCCTGAGCAGAGGAGAGGACATAGTCAACATGGAGGAGGAACCATGCCTGTTTGCTGCCAAAATTTCATGACAAATTTGCAGAGGATTCACATTAGCCACCAGAACTATTGTCCTGGGTTGGCTAATGACACTCCAATGATGCAGACAGAGGTGAAGTCACAAGTGCGGCAGCAGAGGGGGTAAACTCTGTATTGCAGCGTTTTATATCGAAAACCTGCACATACAGACTCCAGACAATATGACGCTGAATGTCCTCATGCATTGTGTGAGGATGTCCAGTGTCAGTAAGGCGACTAAAAGTTTTTATTGATTGGTGTGAACAGTCCAATGGGTGCTGGGGAGGTCCTCGTTCATGAACCGAACAAGGTGGGAAGTCATCCGCGAATGCTGCCCCTGGGTGGCGTTCATCTAACGAACGGGCTGCCACCCAGGGCAGGGCATGCACTGAGGCATCCTGTGTGTTTTTGACACCTCGTTTTGAGGTGTGAACGTTCTGTAACAACATTCTAAATGTGGTTTCGTGGTGGTCCCTGTTTGGGAGTTGAATGGAGTCCCTTCGTGGTAGCACTCCCGAACAGGGAGCAGGCAGCTCTGACGTATACATGGAGTGAAATACACGACTAAGATAGGGAAAATACACGAAAGGGATGCTAAGACAGGAACACACATCACAGAGCAACCTGGTCAATTCACAGATTAGCGCTGGTCCCGCTTCAATAAACTGAAGTGGTCTGGGTGCCTATAGTGTCCCTGTAAGGTTGAAAGGTCAGTTAGGAGAAGGATGGTTAAAAGGAGTGTGATGAACTGAACCCGGG